TGATTAATTTCTCAAATATATATTAAAAAATTATAAATAAAAATATATATTAAATTAAAATTAAAAAAAATTATTTATCAATTATATATTATAAAAATTATAATTATATAATTAAAAAAATCTTATTTATAATTATAACTTTAAAAAAAATTATAACTATAAAATTAATGTTAAATAAATTATATATATTATATAAATTATATATATATATATATATATATATATATATATATATATACATAAATTAAAATTAGATATATGAACTCTAAAATTAATTTTATATATAAAATTTACATAAATAAAAATAAAAATTATCAACTTAAAAATAAATTATATTCTTATATATATATATATATATATATATATATATATATATATATATTCTCCAAAGTATAACTTAATTTCATTTCTATAATATAACATATAATACATTTCTATGTGATTTCTGTCAAATTATAGATTGGATATAAATATTTTTAAAAACTCAAATTATAGATTGGAAATAAATCTATAAAATTTTAAAAATGATGTTATATTTTTAAAAACAAATATTAGAAAAAAGTTTAAAAACATGTATAAATTATATTTATATGTCCAAAATATTAAAGATATCTACATTTAAAAAAATACTAAAAAATATTAAAAGTTATACTTTAAATTAATGAAAATATTTAAAAAAAGTTATATTTATTAAAGTATTAAAAAATATTTTGTAATATATAAGTTAAAAAAATTATCATTAAATTTTTTAAAAATTATTAGTTTTATAATTTATATACAATGAAAATAATATAATGGTATATTAGTATATAAATATATAAATATATAAATATGTAAATATATAAATATATAAATATATCAATATATCAATATTTAAATATATATTAAAATATATAAATATATTTGTATCTATAGATTTTATAAATATATAAAGATATAAATATATATATATATATAAAGATGTAATTTTAGTTTAATTAAAAATTAGAATACAAATATATTATATTATATTAATATACCATTATGTTATAATATTTGTAATTTATTTTTATAGTGTATAAATTACAAAACTAATAATTTGTATACTATACTATACTAATATATAATTTGTATACTATACTAATAGTATAATATACTATATTATAATATTATTTGTATACAAAACTAATATCTTTATATCTTTATATATAAATATATAAATATGGAAATATATAAATATATGTAAAAATATAAATATATAAATATATAAAGATATAAATATATATAAAAATATAAAGATATAAATATATCAATATATAAATATATAAATATATCAATATATAAATATATCAATATTTAAATATATCAATGTATTAATATTTAAATATATATTAAAATATATAAATATATTTTTATTTATAGATTTTATATTTATATATTTATATGAATATACATTTATTTGTATATAAATATAATTTATTTGTAAGTTATTATTAAAAAATCCTAGTAGCTCGATGATTGGAGTTTCAGTTAAACTTCTAAAAAATATAATATAATTAAGAGTTAGGGAAAATAAATATAAATAAAAACTTAAATAAGCAAAAATATAATATAAAAAGAGGTAGGGGAATTAAATAATAAATATAATTAAAAATGTAAATAAATAAAAATAATTAATTTTGTTATTGATTTAGCGACCGATTTAAATCGGTCGCTAATTTTTTAACTTTGTCACCGATTTAGCGACCAATTTGATATATTAATTTCGGTCGCTATTTTGCGACCGAAATAAAATCGGTCGCTATTTTGTGACCGAAATGAAAATCGGTCGCTAACACATTAACGACTTGACTTTTTGCGACGACGCATTTCGGTCGCTAATTTCGGTCGCTAACTAATTAGTGACTGATTTTTTGACATTAGCGACCGATTTTTTCGATCGCTAAAATGCTTTTTTCTTGTAGTGAAATAGCCTTTGTGTTTAAGTCTTAACAAAAATCATAGTTGTACATTTCTCACCTTGTGAAGTTATCTTCTAGCTAAGAGAAAGAGAGTCTATATTTGTAATATCCTGCATTGTGTGAAGATGAAACTTGAGTATATAGGAAAACTATCATATCTTCTCGGTGACCGTTAAAAACTTATGATCTCATCAAACCTTTCTTTGAAGATGTTTGAAGAGGTTTTGTGTACTTTGATGAGCTAGAATAGTAGCTCAAAATGACCTTGTGTACTTATTTTTTAATTTATGAGAAATTAAAGAATAACCAAAAATATTTGTGTGTAATGGTTGTAAACTAAAAGTCAAAATTGATAATATTTATTTTTTAATATGTTGATTATAGTAAAATCTTTTAATAGTTTGTAAAAGATATATGAATGTAACTTAATTTAAATGAACTAAATATAATAAAAACTAAATATTTACATATTCTATATTTTATATCTTATTTTAAAAATATTTTTATTTATTTATTAAAATATTTTAAAATAAAGAGAATTTTTATCAAATTATCTAACTAAAATACTATTAAAAATACTTTGATTACCTAGTCAAAGCTACACTAGATCACATATCGATCACATATCAACTATTCTAATCCACAATATCTTTCGATAACTTATTATTCATTATAAAATAATTTTAAAAGATATATTTAAATCTTCCTTTTTAAATTAAACTAAGTTATAATATCATTTAATATTATCTTTTCATTTATCTTATTATATATATATATATATATATATATAATTTAATATAAAAAGACTAAAACTATATTTAATATTTTATCCATTACATTAAATTAAAAAATATCACATAAAATGATTAAAATAATATATTTTCAAAAACTAGAGGATTATTCATCAAATTTTAAGTCTTAGAACCAAACCAAATTTAACAAAAAGAATATAAGAATAAAATACATATTTAAGTATATATATATATATATATATATATATATATATAATACTAGATTTTTATTATATTATTAAGATTTAATCATTTTTTCCTTGAAATTTAAGTTAAATAATTTTTTTAGTCTATTGAATTGAAAAAGTTTATTTAGTTCTCAAATTTAATAAAATATATGTTAGCCTATAAATACTAAATTAGAAGAAACTAAATTAATTTTAAGAAAACATTTTAAATTTCTCCGAATTTATTGATTAGCTATTGAAATAATATATTTTCAAATTTTGAAGGACTAAAATTATTAAGTTGAAGTGTTAAAATCAAAATCATTTTAAATTTAAGAAACTAAAAAAATATAATCAAATCTAAAAATAATTATACAATTCTTTTATAATTTGTTTATAATTTTAGAAAAAATTATTTATATAAATAAAAAATAATATTTTTATATTAATTTATATAATAATATATTATAATTTTGCATTAAAAATATATCTTATATTTATTTATCTATAATTATATATAAAAAAATTATTTTTGTAGTTGCTCTTTGGGTGTGATCGGGACAAATAAAAATGGATATATTTAAATAAAAGAAGAGAAAAAAAATAAAACTTAAAATAATATTTAAAAATAAAATAACTATAAAAAAGCGTACACGCAAATACTCTACTGCCTGTATTTTTACTAGTGTTTATAATAATTGTGACACGTTGATTTAAATTATATTATGTATTAAAAATATTAAAATTAAGTAAAAATATTTAAATATTATTTTAATTTTAATATATATATATATATATATATATATATATATAATTTTATAGAGGTTGTTATTAAATATTATTTTTGATAAGTTAGTTAAAATTATATTTTTTCACATTATATAGCCATTTTTCTTAGAAAATGGTCATTTAATTATAATTTATATTATATATCTTTGATTATTTAATTAGTTATTTTTTAATAGATGAGCTTATTTAACCTATTCTTTAATTTGCTATTATCTATCAAAAAAATAAGTTTAATTACAATTGAATGTATTAAATTATGAATTGATTAAATCATAAAATAATCACATTTAAATAAATGATATAAAATTTGGATTATAAAATTAACCTATAAATTTAAAAAGTCATAACAAAATTATAAAAAATATAAATTATGAGAAGAAAGGTTGGATTTAAAGACAGAATCGAAAAACTTCAATATCGAGGAAATTATAAAGTCTAAACCGTGAATAAGAAAAACTATTAAATCTAAGTTTGTAAAATAAAAATAAAACTAACATAAAAGTTAGTTAAGTGAAAAAGTTGTATAAACCGTCAAGACCCAAATAAGACGTAAAATTAGAAATTGATTTGTCATAATGCATAACTAGTGGTTTGAATATTATTTATTTATATTCCTGAAGGAAAAAGTTAATTAAATTAGTTTATTCTATTCGATAATTTTATTTAATATTTATTAGAATATACTTTTTCAGTGAATAATAAATAATTTCCAGTCTCAAATTTAGTGAACAGTTTTCTTCACCCTCCCTCAATTTTCTTAGTTTATCCTTCTTATATTAATATATAAACAATTTTCTTCTTACTTAAAAAAAAACTTTAAATTAATACTTCGAACTATGGATAATATTATCAAAATCATAATTATAAAAAATTAATAAATTAAAAAAGTATTAATTTTTAGTTATTATGAATGAAAAAATTAACTGTAATTTTAAATTATTATATGTAAGAATAAAATCTTATCTCCTGTGAAAATCGTAATTGAACATTTAAGAAAAATAAAATAAAATCAATTCATACAAGGATCATGATATATTTTAACAACTCCAACAACCTATCTACATTTAATAATATTAATATATAATAATAATTATGATTATTTAATAAATATAATGGGTTATATTATAGGGGAGATGTAAGGGGCGTGAACCAAACATTTTCCTTCTTGCAAATACAACTGAGCGAAGCAAAGTTTTGTCCGGTCTTCTTGTCCTAAATAAGGACAGGGTTCCGTTTCAGTCTGTGTCGTCTCATGCACAGTGGAAACAGTTGCGAAGAAGGTTGAAAGGGAAGAGGAACGAACGAAGCGAGCAATGTACAAAACGAAGGTGCAAGAGTTATGCCAGCGACGGTCATGGCCTTTGCCCATATACGACAACATCCAAGAAGGCCCCGATCACAACCCTCGCTTCACCTCCACCGTCACCGTTAACGGCGTCTCCTTCCAAACCCCTTCCCCCACGCGGACCGCCAAAAACGCCCAAAACGACGCAGCCATGCTTGCCTTCCTCCACTTCTCCCCGCCATCACCTTCGCCGTCGCCTCCTTCTTTTCCCCAACACTCTCTCTCCATTTCCGCTTTCTCTTCATTCCCTCAGCCTTCGCTTTACGCCTCGTCTGCCGGTACCCCTTTCCCCCCTTTCTCCACGTGTTGTTATTGTGTTTGTGGCATGTGCTGTTCTTTATTCATCTGTTTGTCCTTGTGCATTTGATGATGATTGTCCAGTGTGTGATATTTTATCACGGTTTTTTTACTTCCTTAACTGAATCAAAGTAAAGTTTTCTTACTCGTGCTCACGAAAATGCTCTCGGTTTCAGCTTTCATTTCTAATGTTAAAATACTGGAATATCAACTTTTTTGAAAAACAAAAAAATGTTAGAATGAGTAATAGAAACAGAAGAATGCATAAATTTATGAACACCCGAGTTGTGTTTGTTGATTTGGTTGTTTCTTAGGGTTTGGAGGTAACTGCGTGGGTATTCTGTCATGAATTGCTTGTGTTGTTGAGAAGGTTGTTATGAGATTTTGTTGTGTGAAAGAGAATATTTGAATTGTAAACTGATCTCCGTACCAATACCATGACTACCAAAAAAGGAACTTTAGGGATTATGTTCAAGATTCTTGATTTCTTTGAGACTATATTCAGGATTTCAGAACAGAAGATTCATATTAACTTGCACAGGACCTACAGGTGCACCTGATCCCAGCACTGTTGTTGATTACATACTTCATGGCATGCATCACACAAATGGAGTGTTGCAACCGGAAGAAGTATGCCAAACATCTCAAATCAGTAGCCCCCTAACAGCTGTCAGAGATACATTAACAGTGGAAGATCAAAAAAGTGATATGATGTCCCTATCTTTTTTCTTTTGTTTGATTAAATTGATATTTTTTCGTTTTTATTCTAATGTGTTATTGTTAGTTCTAGTTACGTAGGGTAAAAATCTCTCTTTTGTTAGAGAGAGAGAGTTCTTTTGGTGCGAGGTATGCCGGGAAGATTAAATTAATTAGTTTTAATATGATTCGCATGACCTGAAATCAGATGCAGTTTTTCCTCTTACTTCTTGGCAATGTTATTTCTGCAATTCAGGTTTCATTTAAATCATAGAAAAAGTTAGTTATGGCTGTTGAAATCAGTAACAAATATGTTTTGAATTTATTAGCAGTTTATAGGCACATAATATCTGATAGAAGGGAAATTAATTATCCTCTAATTGTGTTACCACTACCCTATATAAACATGTATATGTGGTATATTCAAACATGGTTTAAGCATCACTTTAGCTGTTTTTTCTCTCTCTAAACATGGAAGTCATTTCTGGATCCATTGTAGGACTCACCATAGCCCGCTTTAGTAGTGGTCTCTTTGGGACTTTCTTAAAGAATGGTGGTTTATCCCATATTAAATAATGACGAGGCCAAAACAGCATATAAGTGGAGGTCAACTCTAATTGCAGGGGAAAAACACTTTTCCCACATTTGAATCAAATTAGTGGTTGAAATGAATTTGTTTTATTTATTTTATTTGCACCCTTGTAGGGAAATGACTTATTTTCGTGTAACAAGTTTAAGCAGCTTCAGCATGTTCTGTATTTATTAGCAGTTTATAGGCACATAAAATCTGATTTAGGGGAAACTGAATATCTTATAATTATGTATCAATCACCATGAGCCTTTATAAATATTTATCGGTGGTGTACTCAAATGATTTTAGCATCACTTTTATCTATTATTTATCACTTTCAACATTGACATCTGTAATATTCCCTAGCATAACACCTAGGTTCCCCCATTTGTTTCTCTGCTATTAGAAGTTTCTGCCGCCATTGCAGTGATTGGTGCGGCCAACATACTGTATGCAATGCAGTAGTATTAGAAACTAAAAGACCTGTTTTTGGTTTAGTATTTTTGGACACGAATGCTTAAGATTATAGGGTGCACTCAGTATCCAAAAAATTGTTTTTTCATATTATAAATGGATGAGTCCATGTGTGTTATTTTTTAGTTGAACATGTATTGATGTATTTTGAACATGGATTGTCTACACTGAACATATTTGATCCTTATCCCACTAGGTTAGGTTGGCTACACACAGCCTCAATCATAGTAAGAAAATAAGTATGGAAGAAGTTGATAGTATCAACATAACATTTTATCTTTTTGTTACGTCCTCTTGCATTATATTATTTTATTAATGATGAATGACACTGTAATATACTACTTGTAACTTTTTGCCATTCAATTTTGTCATAGATATGTTACATTTGTACAAGAGCCAGCTGCAAAGCTTTGTTCAAAAGAAAAGTCTAAGTCTTCCAGTATATTCTTCTGAGTGGGAGGGTCCTCCTCATGCCACACGTTTCAAGTGCAAAGTCACTGTTGAGGGACATACCTATGAAAGTGACAAATTCTATTCTACAGTGAAGGATGCTGAACATGCAGCCGCTGAAGCTGCTTTAATGTCATTATCACCAGGCGGAGTTCAAGAGGCTAGTCTTAATCACTTGTAACTATTAAATTCTATAATATTCAACATCTTAATTTTTTTTCTGGTGCTCCTTTTATCTGAATGATTGTCTAAAAAATTTAGGGTCATGCTGGATTATACAAAAATCTTTTACAAGAATTGGCTCAAAAGGAAGGATTTCAATTACCCATTTATAGCACAAATAAATCGGGTGAAGCTCATTCGCCAATATTTGTATCACAAGTAGAGGTAGAAGGGGAGCTTTTCACGGGGCAAGAAGCTAAATCCAAGAAGCAGGCAGAGATGAGTGCAGCCAAGGTAGCTTATATGGCTTTGAAAGAAAGCAAAGGTATTTTTTTTAATACTAGTGCTTTAATTTGTCATTCTAACATATGTCCATAAATATGGACATCCTGAAATTTTGGGTGTTCATTGTCTTGGATGCTGAGGATAAAACCATATAGTTATGAACAATGTTATGAAGATCTTGCTTAGACTTTGGTTGTGGGGGACAGGTGTAATATCATTCAAGCTTAGGATGGTAAGATCCTACCAAAATGTAAAAGTATGTATGTATGTATGTATGTATGTATGTATGTATGTATGTATGTGTGAGTGAGAGAGAGAGAGAGATTGAAACTATATGCGATGGCATTCACTTTAGGATGGTAAGATCCTACCAAAATATAAAATTATATGTGTGTGAGAGAGAAACTATATTCGACGACATTAAAGCAATCATAAAATTGCATTATCATAATCACAACAAGTCCATGACATCCAAAACGAGTCATACTTAGATAAGTATTGCAGGACATTCAGTTTGCTAAAGTTCAATGAGAAATAGAAGCAAGACAGCTGAGGGTGGAGACAGATAGCATGGATAGGTAGAGGGGTACTACATTTTAGAATCAAATTTCAGAACAAGGGAGACAAATGTTGGAGAGAAAATAGTCTGTAGTCATGTGAAAGTTTGCTCGATGGAGATTAGGGAGCAAAAAACACATTATGGTGCAAAAAAGGGTTTTGAGTGAACTTGGTTGAACCTGATTTGAATACTAACTTGCAAAATTTTGAAAAAGTCAGATCCTATGATTTTGCTTCAATCTTGATGTGACCTTCAGAGTCACGATTCTTTGCATAATTCAACTCTGGCTGAGTGTGGGGTCATTAAATTGTTTATTCTTGCAATCTTATTGGTGATTTTGACAAAATTGATTATGGGGCAAAGGATTTATTAGTAGCACTTAACTTTTGGTTATATTCATTTGGTTAGGAATCTTTATTTTCTATGACATGTTCATAGATCTTTACTTTTGTTAGTTTGATATCTTCTTGTTCAATTGGGCTTCTGGTATACAAATTGGACATAACATGGATACTTTTGACACAACTACTATTTAACATATAGGACAAAGGAACCTAAGAGAAGTATTCAAGTACTCTAAAACCATTTTCTCTCAAGTACTCTTTGCTAGTCCTAGTCTTGTTTGGTGATAAAAAGGCCGTCATGCCGCTGTCTGTTGTAAGCTGTCAAAGTTTGCTCTAGTTATCAATGGATCTAGAGTGTTTCTCCGAGTGACAACCAACCTCATGGGTCTTGAAGCTAGCATTGTCACACATGTTGCCATGCTCACCTTTTCTCTATGAGTCTGGTGTGTGTAACCCATGCACCACCTTCCTAAGGCTAGAGGGACCCACGTGACCATTCTACCTGCTATCCCTAGTTGGCTCCATTCTAACCCTTGTTTGTCCCTTCCTTGCGAGTTGGCTATATTGTTCTTTTTTTTCCTTTAAATATTCCCTTTTTACTCTCATTTTTTATTAGAAATGGCTTTTGGACTAGCACATTCCTTTTTTGGTTATATTACCTCTACGTCATAAAGCTTAATGAGATAGATCATTTATCTTGGTCAACATATGTTGAGTTATAGTTCCTTGATCAAGGGTCTCATGATCATTTAGAGAAAGAAGTTAGTGAGATCTCATCAAAAAATTCTTCATAATGGAAAAAGTTGGACTGTCAACTTGCGCGCTATTGTGGCAACCATTGGAACCCAATATATTGGGAACCCTCAAAACTTTCAAAACATGCAAATCTTTTTGGGGGAATGTGCAAAGTATATTTGCAAATGACATTTAGCGGTTCTATGGTTCTGTTGCAAGCTTTCCCCTAGGTTTTAGACCTATTCTATGGTGAAGAAAGGAGTCCTTTGGTTGACAATTTGTGTAGTGGTAAGAGAGGGCAACTAGAACAATAGGGTAGCAAAGTAGCTCAACCTTTCCTAAATTCAGACATCTAGTGGTAGAAAATTGACTCAACTTGTGGCCCTTTTGTTTGCGACATTCCTGTGTCCTTCGACTTCACTTGAACAAACATGTCATGATATGATGTCTTTTATAGCTAAAGGACAATTTGCAGGTGAGGAATTGAAGATATTTTTGGAAGTTGACACCTTAGAAGAAACTAAGAAGCTGCACAAATTAGATATGATTATGATTCTTCGTGTCTATTGATCATATTAGAGATGAAATTTTAATAGGTCTAGAATTTCCAACTACAATAAGTTTGACAACAAGGCTTCTTCGTGTGCAAGCTTTTATGTGCAAAACTTTGCTGAATCTTCGGTTATGGTATGTACACGTGGTGAGGTCTTAATATTAGTGGAGGACATGGTAGCAGAAGATGTCCTTAATGAACTTATTGTAAAAGAATTAGCCATACCCAAGAAAATTGTTACTCTTTGCATGACTTTTATATCTTTAAGTTTGAAATTGTTGAACCAAGTTCTTAGATTCAAAATATCAAGAATATTTGAGGTAGAAGTTAAAAAATTTAGCACAGCCTGCCTACAAATTCCAATTTGACGTTTGCTTGTATTTCACAATATGTGGAGAGTCAAAGTCTATGGATAATTTACTCAGGTGCTTCTAATTGTATTTTTGGTAATACTCTTTGTACTTTTTTTTTTTTTCTAAAAGTCCTCGTCACATAATTTTAACCAATGGATTTAAAGTTGCTTCTCAAGGAAGTAGTTAATTTTCCCTTTCTCCTTCCTAAAACCTAGAATCTACTTTCTTTGTTCCTACATATCCATTTAATCTTATTTCTTTAAGTCAATTAATCAAGTTATTAAATTGTTCAATAATCTTTTATGCCAATTCTTTTATCATACAAAAAATTTGTTCAATAATCTTTTATACCAATTCTTTTATCATCCATTTTTACTAACGTTATTCAAGGTGTCTATGATGCAACTCAAAGAGTGACATCTCTTAAGTATACAAATCATGACATGATGTCTCACATTGCAAAAGGTAGGGCTGATGTGGAGGAATTAAAAAGGTTTCTTGCAGCAAACACATTAGAGGAATTAAACTCCAAATTGGATAAGTTGTATATGGTCCTAATTTTGAGGAGTCTGCACTCTGATTTTGATCATGTATGTGATCAAATCTTACATGGTGATTAGGTTCCGTTAATGGATAATCTTGTCACGAGGTTGATTCGGGTTGTCAATCTTATGACAGATGAGAATCAGATGGAGACAGTTGAAACTTCAGCCATGATTGCTCCTTGTGGTCGAGGGGGAGGACGTAACAGTCGAGGAGGACATGAGAGTACAAAAGGTCGTTGGATTTAGTTCATTTGTTCTAAGCTTGGTGCATACAATCTATATGTTCTAGCTTGAGGGTGAATGTTGAGACATGTTGTTTCTCTATCTATTTGTATTCTCTGTGTATGTTTTTTAAACTAGGGTTAAGGGTTTGGGCTGAGGTCCATATCCTCTTTATTGTATCTCTTTTATCTATAAATACAACGTAAAAATGTCTTTTGACACTGTATTGAAGTCCTAAATAAGTTTCTCAAGTGCTTTAAACCTTTAAGTGTGAGTCATGTCAACTAGGAAAACATGTTATATCTTAAAAAATTTGCATCAAGATGTAATTTTGTCTTTTCTATCATCCATTCTGTCGTTTAGGGACCTAGCCTTGTTACTTTCATTGATAAATATTCTAGATGTAATGGGGTTTATCTAATGAAAGATTGTTTTGAATTTTTGACTATCTTTATATCTTTCCTTAATGAAGTGACAACGCAAAAGAATACTGTTTCCTCTAATTTTTTTACTCTTTTAAGCTCATGGCATTTTACATTAGTCTACTTGTTTTCACACCTCAACAAAACGGTATACCAAAGAGGAAAAAATAGACATTTGGTTGAAATTTCTTGTACCTTACTATTTGGTACCAATATATCCATCGCTAGGTGATGCAATTCTTATTGCATATTTCCCTATGAACAAAGTGCCCTCTTTTTCTCTTGAAAATAAAGTTCCTTTTTCCATTTTGTTTTCAAGTGAACATCTATGTCATATTTCTATTAGTGTTTTTGGTTGTGTTTTGTTCATGATATGTCTCTTAAGTTTGGACAAACTCTTGATAAGAGCTATCAAATGTGTCTTTCTAGGATATTTTTGTCTTGGAAATGAGTATCAATATTGTTAGAATTATTATTAGTTAGTGGTTAGTGGTTAGTGGTTAGTTGTTAGTGGTTGGTGGTTGTTAGTAGTTGGTGGTTGTTGTTTTAAATGTTGTAATCCTATATATATATATATATATATATATATATATATATATATATGAGATCATAGAGTAGAGTAATGAATCCCACAAAATTAGAAATCTTCTTTTCAGTCTCTTTACTCTCTTAACTTGGTATCAGAGTAGGTTGGTCTTGCTCTGCCCGTCCGGCCACCATCCGACCATTTTCGGTCACCGGCCGGCCATTTCCGGTCACCGTCCGACCATTTTCCGGTCACCGTATGACCATTTTACGGCCACCGTTCTGGTCACTTTTCGGCAACCGTCAGTCCCCCATCCAGTCACTTTTTTTTTTCTACCGTCCGACGACTTTCCAACCACCTTCCAGTAACCTTCCGGCTATCTTGGGTGTTCTCTTTCTTACAGGTTCCATTGTCTCCATCTTACATCTACATTATTTAAAACATGTCGTCAGGGCCCACAACCTCCTTTTCCGGAACTCCCACGATAACGGCTGAGAAATTAAATGGAAAAAATTACATGTCTTGGTCCTCTTCAGTGGAACTTTGGTTCCTTGGACAAGGGTTTCACGATCATCTAAAAGAAGACGGAAGTAAGATACCAGAAGATCAGACTCAACAATGGAAAAAGTTTGATTATCAACTCTGTGCTCTACTGTGACAATCAGTAGAACTAAATATTTTGAACACTCTCAGATCCTTCAAAACATGTAACTCTTTCTGGAAAGAAGCTCAGAATATCTTCGCAAATGATATCCAACGCCTCTATGATTCCGCTAATCGATTAGCCTCTCTCAAGCAAGTGGATAAAGATATGATGACCTTTATTGCTGAAGCTCAATTAGCAGTTGAAGAATTAAAGATGTTCCTAGAGGTGGATTTGTTAGAGGAGATAAAACAAAAGTTGGATAAATTCTATATGGTTATGACTCTCCGGGCTATGAATTCAGAATTTGATCATGTTAGAGATCAAATTTTAACTGGACAAGAAGTTCCTTCTATGGAAAGTTTGACTACAAGACTACTTCGTGTTCCAACTCTCAAAGGAAAAAATAATCAAGAACTTGTTGAATCTTCTGCTATGATTTCTACCCGTGGAAGAGGAAGTCGTGACACTAGAGGAGGACGTGGAGGTAGAGGACGTCCTCAGTGCACTCATTACAAGAGAATTGGTCATACAGTGGAAAATTGCTACTCTTTGCATGATTTTCCTGATAAAACTGTCAATATTTCTAAATCTGAAATGGTTGAACCCAAGTTCTCTCACGAAGAATATCAAGAATATTTGAGGTTGAAATCCAGTAATCTAGCATAGTCATCAACAACCCCAAATTCATTAACAGCTTGCATTTCACAATCTGTGGAAAGTCAAAATCCATGGATTATTGACTCAGGTGCTTCTGATCACATGTCTGGTAATGCCTCTTTGTTCTCTTCTCTCTCATTTCCTAAAACTCATCATCTCATAACCTTAGCCAACGGATCTAAAGTAGCCTCTAAAGGAACTGGTCAAGTCTCCATTTCTCCGTCTTTAAACTTAAAATTTGTTCTTTTTGTTCCTTCATGTCCCTTCAGTCTCATTTCCCTAAGTCAATTAACCAAATTATTGAATTGTTCAGTAACCTTTAATGTCAACTCTTTTGTTATACAGGAACGTGGTACGAGTCGACAGATTGGCGAAGGACATGAATCTGGAGGCTTATACTATCTTGGGACTAAATCATCTGTATCTTGTGTTGCATCCTTGTCTCCAAAACTATTACATGAATGGTTAGGGCACCCTCACTTATCAAGATTAAAAAAAATGGTTCTTGAACTTAAGACTCTTCAAGATTTTGAATGTGAATCATGTCAACTAGGGAAACATACTAGGTCCTCTTTTCCTAAACGTTCTGAATCTAGATGTTACTCTGTCTTTTCTCTTGTTCATTCTGATATTTGGGGTCCTAGTCGTGTCTCATCCTTTGGCTATAGATATTTTGTTACCTTCATTGATGAATTTTCTAAGTGTACTTGGATTTATCTAATGAAAGACCGTTCTGAATTATTACTTATCTTTAAGTCTTTCCTTAACAAAATCAAAAATCAATTTGGAAAAGTAATCAAAGTTTTACGAAGTGCTAATGCCAAAAAATACTTTTCTACTGATTTCTCCACTCTCTTAAGCTCCCAAGGCATTTTACACCAGTCTACTTGTCCTCACATACTACAACAAAATGGTATAGCAGAATGAAAAAATAGACATTTGGTTGAAACTGCTCGTATCTTATTACTTGGTGGAAATATGCCCGTTCATCATTGGGGAGATGCTATTCTTACTGCATATTTTCTTATTAATAGAATGCCATCTTTCTTCTCTTAACAATAAAGTTCCACACTCTATTCTATTGTCAAAGGACCCACTCTTTCATGTTTCTCCTCGTGTATTTGGTTGCGTATGTTTTGTTCATGATATGTCTCCAGGTTTAGATAAACTATCAGCTAGAGCTATCAAATGTGTCTTCTTGGGATATTCTCGTCTTCAAAAAGGATATCGATGTTATTCTCCTGAAACCAAGAGGTACTACATGTCTGCTAATGTCACTTTTTTTGAGTCAACTCCCTTCTTCCCTTCTTCTATGCAGGATATTAGTTTGGTCCAAAATGTCCTACCTGTACCCTTAGTGGAGCCATTTGTACCTCCTCCTCCTGACACT